GGGGGGGGGGGGGCGGAGAAGGATTTCGGGGGAAAGGATGCATAGGGGAGGGGAGGGGGGGATTGTTGTAAAGGAAAGGGGAGACGAGGACGATTCATGAGGACGAGCGATGTTCTCGATTTTGTGCATAAAAAAATGGATGGGATGTACGTACGTGACCCCACTGACCCCTGAACATCAGGGTTGATCAAAGAACAACGCGTGATTTGAATAATGGGCTTGTTGTGGGGTGAGTTTGAGTCGGGGATTGCAATTGTCCAATTTGTTCACATATGCATAACAACATATTGTTTTGGTGCTTGTGCAAACAAATCAAATAATTGGCTCATTCACATAGACACACCATACACATCACAATCGAAAATAATTTGTGGCACAAATTTATAAAGGCTGACAATTGTATTCCCAATGCATTTTTGATATGAGCTACATAATCACCTTACCCCTCGCGCTTCTCCCCTAGACTTGTTGCTGCTACCACTATTACCGCAATTGCAACCTGGCAGTCTGAATATGCCGTACAAATTTGTCAAAGACGTCCGTTGTATTAGAAAAGGCGCGTTAAGCGTTTGTTTGGTCCAATAATGAAAGGAGAAAAAAAAAGAGGCAACCAAGGCTATCCGTTGAAATATTCCCAAAGTGGCCTTATTCTACTACACATGAGTGGTATCCAGAGCTCGTGGTTTGGCAATGTCCCAATTACGCCAACGCCAGTAGAAAAGGAAAAAAAAGGGTTCATCGTTTAACGGAAGTGTGTGCGTGCGTGTGCCAATAGAATGTGGAAGCGCCATATCGCACTAGAGCATGGATGCGGCGTTGTGGTTATCGTCGTATGAAATTCCAAGGTGCCAAAAATGACCTCAAAAAGGCAGCAGATGACATGATTCAACCGTGTTCATGACCGGCTCAAGCTGGGCGACGGCGTCCACCCTTGAGAGACTTGACGCGGTTAAGGAAACCACCACCAGGTGGCTTGGTTTCAGCAGTAGGAGATGAGGCACTGTCAGTAGTAATGGATCGTTGCAAACCGGCACCACGAGGTGGTGAAGCTCCCATCCTTCCATCGGCGTCACCAGTCCTGATGGATGCTCCCTTGGCATCGTAGGCCTTGTCGTAGTCATCACTAAAGAAGGGGTTCTTTTCATTAGCCTTGGTCTGTGAGAGGGACCCAGTGCTATAGGACCCATTGTGGCCGTTTGGGCTAGTAGCGGCTCCGTAACGCGCTTCGGGTGAAGTGATGCGAGGGTTGTCTCCATAACGTCGGGGCTGCGAGATACCACGGAATCGCTGGGCAATCGACTTTTTGCGGCCAAGACCGTTCTCAGCAAGCTGCTTTTGCCTCTGAGCATCGCTGTCCTCTTGGATGGCCTTGCGGGATGCTGGAGCACCTTCAAGGAATGTCGAGGTTCCAAGACCGTGGCTCTGCTCACCGTGGACGATGTCGTCTCGGCTCTTGGCGCTGTACTCTGTAGTTACAGGCTTCTTCCACTCGGATTCGGCGGTACTAAAGTCTTCGAAACCCTCGGCGCCTCGGCCGTGGATCCTGTCCAAATCGATCTTGTTATTCAACGGTCCAGCACCCCCTAGCGTGTTGTTGGCGGATCCGACCGGGAAGGCCTCCATTGGCGCGCGTGTGTCCTTCTTCCTGTTTCGGTGTGGCTGTACAGCGTCGTAAGGGCCGTCATGGTGAATCATGCTGGGTCCGTAGATGCCGGTGACGTCGAGCTTGTCGATCAAATCAAGGCCTTGGGGCTTGCGGACTCGCTTGCCTGTCTTGGGATCCTTTGCATCCTTGGAACTCTCCTCACGCTCCTTGCGGCGCTCCCTGCGCCTGCGGTCGTCGCGAGGGTCCAAAGAACCTCGGTCAATTATCGAGGATTCTGAGTTACGACGGGGGCGCCGAGTCGTCTCACGGCGTTCAGGGCTGTTTGGGTGGGGAGGACGCGATGAGCCCGGAGGCCCACGCGGTCGAGGAGGGCCACGGGGGCCGTCCCGTGCTCGCCTCTCCTCATCAGAGCGCGATGGGCGATGGGCTGCACGGGGATCGGTGCCGCTTCGGTTAGGGGCCGGGCGTGAGGGAGGAGCTGGCTTCTTGTCGCTGTCGTCGATGGATAGGCTCTTCTGTACGTAGGGAGGTCATGGTCAGTAAAGTGGCCAGCAAAGCGTCTGAAGTAGCTCATGATGCACACAGTGTACGTTGCAAGGAGTGAAAACATGCTTGTACACTGGAAAGGGGAGGGGGGAGGGAATGGGAATTTGAGCGGACAGCTGTTTTCAGCAACAGAGTGTGCACGTAGCCGCCAGGCTCACGTGTAATTGTGATGCAGAGCGCAAGGCAAAGAAAAAACGTACAAAGATGTCCTCGGTGGCAGAGCCAAAGGTGGGTTTCTTGGGGGATTCCTTCATGTTTGCAGACATGTCAATAAGGTCGCGCGAGGCTTCCTTATTAAACTCTGCCTCGAAGGTCGAGATGAAGGGATTTCGCGACATTGGTCTGCTGCCCGAGCTGGAGCGGTTGGTGGCACTTGCGGGAGAAGGAAATGCGGGCGAGGGATAACCGGGTGAGGCAGCTCTGCGGAAGGGGTTGTTTGAGGAAAGGTTGAGCTGCAGGCCTGGCGAGGGCCGGCGTTCTGTAGATAAGAAGGGGTGATGAGCTTGGGAAGCAAATTGGAGCGTCGGGCCCAAGGAGAGGGTGAAACGGGCGATCGAAGGGGGAGGGGGGTAATACCTGGCATTGACGGCTCTGCAAACATAATGCCGTCTGTTGTCGACAACCCTGCTGTGCGGCCCAATCAAACACTGGCGTTGCAGGAGGCGGGAGGCGAGCGCTGTGCGACTGTTGGCTGGTGATGCGCAGTGCGGGTAAGCGTCGTGGTGCAGCGGGCTCCGTTGCTGGGTAGGGCAGCAAAAGCAAAAAGGGGGGCGTAATTTAAGACTGGCGATACCAATGCTGCAGTGTTTCGCGCTGAGGATAGGACGGGCCCCGTTGGCTGACTGGCGGCGGCGGTGGGTGCAGGTGGGCGGGGCGAGTGCAGATAGGCTTGTGTTTGAAGGCCCGTTAGTAGTCTATGCAACGGCTAGTGATGTCGAGTGCCCAGGCGACGGCCGTGGTGGTGCAGGCAGCGCAGGAGGCCGCGGGGGGGTATGTGTGCAGGAGATGGGAGTGGGAGCGGGCGCAGGAGGTGGAATTGGGATGGGCCAGTGAGTAAGCGGAGGGAGGGAGAGGGAGGGAGGGGGGAGGGGGGGCAGGGCAGGAAAGGGAGAGGGGCGGAGAAGGGCAGAGACGGCAGGCGGGCGGGTTTATGTAAAAAGGCACGAGAGGGAGAGGCACGATGAGGACTAAAAGTAGTTACTACTAGTTATTTAGTCGGCTGGAGCAAGAGCGGCCTAGGTCTTGTCTGTCTGGCCAGCTTGGAGCGGAGGGCGGCGAGCTGGGAGCTGGGAGCTGGGAGCTGGGGGACCTGGGACGCTGCGGCGGCGTTCGGTAGGACCGGCCGTCATCTGGGCCGCTGGTCACGAGCGTGACGACGAGGTGGGAGAGGGAGAGGGAGAGAGGAAAAAAGCCACCATGAGGCCGATGCTCGCCATCAGAGCAGCGCTCCGCGACAACCCACATGGACACGCGCCTGTGGGGTTTTTGGGTCGCTGGCCGGACGGGCATAGCGCTGTGTCCGCCTGACTCTGCTGCTACCACTACGCCCACACATTCACGCCCTCCTGAGCAGTGCTTGCTGCAGTAGTACATGTAGACGTATACCGCTACTACGTACATGGTCCCATAGTATTAACCAAGTGCTGCACACTGTACACTGTACACTGTACACTGACTGTACACTGTACACTACGTACATACCAAGCACTCACAGACTGCTCGCCCACCCAGCACCCCGGCCGAGGCATCACTCTCTCTCTCTCACTGTCCCCCCCTTCCATCCCATCTCGCACTCGCTCTCCCCCCCTCGTGCAGCTGATTGTGCAAGGGCATGAGTGGTTAGCCCGCCTCAATCTACCCAAGTGGATTAGCTGCCGACTCTGTGCAGCCTGGACATTGCGGGGAAAAAAAAGACCCTGGATCCATCCCTCTATTCTTCTTTCAGCCTCAGCCGGCCTGGCCCTCGACACGACACGACACAACACGCGCGCCGCCTCGACTGCGACGTCTGCCATCGCCATCGCCATCCACGTCCGCATCCACGCCCACGGCGCCGCTGCTCCTGTCAGACACTGGCAGCAACGCCCATGTCCATGTCCATGCCCATGCCCATGCCAGACGTGCCCGGCCTGGGCGGCTACTCGCGCTTTGAGCTCGAACTAGAGGTCCGCAATTCCCGTCGACCGCAACGTCATTAGCCCCTGTTTTATCTTCATTAACACGAACCTAGTTTGTCCAGTGCCTCGCCAATCCCGTTTATCTCAACTTCCTGGCCCAGCAGAAAACGCTCGATAAGCCCGATTTCGTGGCGTACCTGGCGTACCTGCAGTACTTCAAGGAACCCAAATACGCCAAATTCCTACAGTAGGTCCCCCCCTTTCAGCCCTGTAGTCTCTCCAAGGCGTCTACTCCACTGCGCCCAACAACTGCTCCATGACGCCACCCAGCTTACTGATGATGATGTGCCTGCAGCCATCCCGGCCCAACCCTCCGCGCGCTTGAGTTGCTGCAGCAGGAGCGCTTTCGCCAGGACATTCTCGCTCCTGGCCTCGTCGACAGGCTCGTCATCCAAGGGCAGCGCAACGCTGTGCCTGCTGCTAATGCTAACATGCACTGAGCCCACGTGGGGCCACTCTGCCAAGACACACGGCCGATCATGTGCATGGCTGTATGGCTGGCCCTTTTGGCTCCCTCTGCCTCGACTGGCAGAGTACCCCCGACGCCCCTCCCACCACAGCCAAACCCAGCTGAGATATCCATTCTCCTCATCTTACTTTGGCCTGACACCTGTGTTTAGCCCGCTTGCCAGTGGTTCGCGCCATGGATGAAGCCTGCAGCCCGTGGCCCTCGGCTGCTAGCACCGCCCTCTGAGACGCCAGATCGACGCCTCGATCGGTACTCGTCCTCTGCACCCTCCATATTCGATCGCTTTCGTAGCAAAAGTATACTTAGTGTGTAGTCACAACGGCAAGCCATCGTATTCAGGTACCCTAGAATAGTGCACGGCGCTATCGTTTGATGCTTGATCTATCGTATTCGCATTGCAGTGACGTCGTCCATGTACAGCCTGCGTGAACCAAACAAACAATAAACAATCCCATTCCTAGTGCTAGCCCATCCCGGTCATGCCGTGCGATGCTAATGCCATGCATCCATCCTCACAACCCATCCCAGTAGTCGCGTCTCGCCTACTGCACACCTGGGTCCATTTGCCTGTGCCTGCTGCACGTGACATCATGGCTCCGCCAGAGCTGCCCCACGTCGCGCCATCGCTGCGAGACATCGAGGGCGTGGCACCCCGCCCCCCAGTCTTGTGAGCTGAGCTACCAACAGGGTACTTGGTTGCCGACACAGTACTCACGCACCGCCCCCCCCCCCTACCCTCACTGTCAAACTTTGGCACCATGCGCTCCGTATCCGAAGCCGAGTATGCCCATGCGTCGTCTACACAAATCCTCGGGACAAACTCTGACGTGATGTAGGAAGCACTGGCGCTTGCTCGACAACTTCCATTCCTTGACCGATCTCAAGATTCACGTCTCTTCACACAAAGACCCCCAAATTACTGCCGGCCTCCGATCCGTCTGCTGGAAAGTGCGATTCCCTCCACTCTTTCGTGCTTTCGCCATTGCTCATCGTCCCACAACCAGATCTTTCTTGTCTTCAAGACTCTCGATCGTTCGTCATGGCCCACCCACCTCAGCCAGGCGCGCAAGACATACGAGTCCCTCCGCAGTCACTACCTCCGCGCCATCCAGAACCCAAATGAATTCGAGTCCACCGTCGACCCCCTCAGCGAGCTATCAGAGGTACGTATGTCTCGTCACCCGGTCACACGCCCCTCAAACATGTTGCTTATTGACAGGTGCTAAGCGTTAAAAGTCCCCATGGATAGCCCTACGAGCCGACGAAGAACTTCGGGCCGAAATATTTCAAGACATTGAGCGATGCATGCCAGACAATGTCTACTTTCGCCAGCCCGCCACCCAGAACATGATGCTGGACATTCTGTTTGTGTGGTGCAAAATGCACCCCAACATTGGCTATCGGCAGGGCATGCACGAGATACTAGCCCCCGTGCTGTGGGTCGTGGAAAGAGATGCCATTGAGCTCGTGGGCCAGAAACCCGGTGCCAAAGATCGCACGCTCGCAGACATGCTCGATTCTGCCTACATTGAGCATGATACTCACATGCTTTTCTCCGTCGTCATGCAGACTGCAAAGTCGTTTTATGCCCCGGCAGAGATTGGTTCGGCTTCCAAAGAGACTCCAATGCTTGCTCGCAGCTCTAGGATCTTCGATGACTACCTGTCGAGGGTCGATCCAGTATTGCATGGCCATCTCGTGAAGCTCGACATTGTCCCTCAAATATTCTTGCTGTAAGCCGCCAGTGCACTTGGATCCCCTCTCAGCTAACCAACAAGCACAGACGCTGGATTCGTCTCCTTTTTGGAAGAGAATTCTCTCTTGATGCTGTCTTTGACATGTGGGATGCTCTGTTCGCGATAGACTCCACACTAGAATTAGTCGACATGATTTCCATCTCCATGTTACTGCGCATACGGTGGGAGCTGATCAAGGCCGATACCAACGAAGCTTTTGCTTTTCTACTCAGATATCCCGAGCCAGCCAACCCGCCTTACACCTTCATCAAAGATGCTTTGTATCTTCGTGACCATCTAACCCGACAGGGCGGCGTAGAAATCATCACAAGATACGGAAAGAAAGCCCCCGTTTTTGAGTCTGAGACGATAGCGAGTCCTCGCGATGCTTCGCCATCACCATCGTTTGCCTCAAGCCGAACACGGAATAGCCTAGGATCGCCAAGAAGCTTTGTCAGCCAACAAGGTGCTGGCATAGAGGCATTGATTCAAGGCGCTGCCAAGAATGTATTAGATCGCGGATCGCAATGGGGCGTGGGAAAGGCTCTAAGAGATGCTGTAGGGGAAGTAAAGAAGAATGTTGAAGCCTATCAGTCAGGAGTAAGTTCGGGCAATGCAACACCACGATCCGGTGCAAGAGAGTTTCGAAAGCCTGCCCTGCCAGCAATCGGTTCCAATGGGCGGCCAAGCTTGGAAAGAATACATTCGGCCAAAAGTATGAGTAAGATAGAGGAGCTCGATCGCAGAAACAAGAATCTGGCCAAGATGCTGGAGGCTGCAATCGGTGAGTTGTGGGAACATCACCGCGAACGTGATGAGGCACAAAGAGCAAACGCAGATGACGAAAAGGGCAAAGAATCTATCGAAGCACTTAGTCTTGCTATTGCAAAGGTACAGTTTGTACAGGTATACCTGGAGGATTCATCCATACCGTTGCCTGTTGATGAAGCCACGGAGCAGGCTGCAACTGCACAGGCTACAGCAACTCTCGCTTCTCCAACCCCTCCCTCCGCAACAGGATCCGAGCAGAGTCCGAAGGTCCAGCCCGTAACATCCACGGCAAGTCCTCGTCCCACCACACCCCTGGTATCAGTATCAAGCAATCCTACTCCAATTAGTTCACGCCCGGCATCACCTCCTGTCAGCACACTGTCGCCGCCATCGAAGCTCGCCTCGTCTCTATCCCCGAGGTCACGGCCACACCTCACTTCTTCAAGCTTTTCATGGATGCTGGGCGAGGACTCTGCGTCTTCCAACTTTGCCTCCGGTACAGCGCATTCAACCTTCTCCTCTGATGAGAAAAGGCGGATGAAGGGCAAAGGATTTTTGTTTGGTGATGATGACGATGACGATAGTAGTAGCATCAAGGACGGGAAGAGGGGCGGTGGTGGCAGTAAGAGTAGCACAAAGAGCACTAAGAATGCAAAGGGCAAAAGCGTGCCAGAGACTGAAGTGGAAGAAGAAGTAATCGATCTCGCAAACATGGGCAACAAAGGAGGTGTGGTCTAAATTCCGTTCGGCTCTGTTCAAAGCGCCTCAGCATCAGTCTTCGGAACGTCGGCGTGGGATGTAAAAGGCATCTTTGAAAGCAACGTAAGAGGTTATGGTAACTGATCCAATCGCGATGGAATCTCCACGTCCAAGGCGGCCGCCAGAAATCCTACGTAAGATGGTTACTGTGCCGTTTGCGCGCTATGGCGCACTGCGCATGTCAAGACTGGGTGAAGACATCCATCCGAGGAGAGACGATCCCCCAGGAGTACAATGACGGAGGGCGGCCCAAATACAACCCATCGTCTGCCGTTCTTGCATGCTCTTGACCAAACCAACAACTTGGCAGTCCGGCCTCATCACTACTTTGGTCAGCTTACAGCATGTTGTTCTGGAGGTTCTATGCGCCCAATGCCACACGACAGTTGATGGTGCGGGTCGCCCCCACCCTCCCGCCGCCCTTGGTGCCGTGGCCAATGCCTCACCAGGCCTCTGTATTCGCCACCCCAATCATTCCACATGGCACGTCTGCTCCAATGATTAGCTGGCCACGAGGCCCGACCCGCTCAAATGATCCAGGTCGGCAGTCCGGCCGCGTTGGGGTGCGGGAGTCTCTGGCAAGTGCGGCTATTGGCGTCACAGCGGCCGTGGCCGAAAACAGTTGGTCATCGGTCAGGCATGAGCAGATAAAAGGCCGCCCCGCTTCTGCCCCTCCAACTGCTTCTCTTTTCTCCAGCCAACGATCAAAGTACCAAGCTACAACTATCTTCTTTTACATCACCACCAAACTACCACACTTCAAAGACTCATCAAAATGAAGGGAGGCTGCGGAAACTCTGGATGCACTTGCGCCGACTGCGGCTGCGCACAGGGTGCTTGCAGCTGCGGCAAATGTACGTTTTTCTGCATATCTGAGCCTTCCCCCCCCCCAAATCATCGCTATCTTGATTCTGTGTATTTGTGCTGCAAGGCTTGAACTTGGCATACTAATAGTCGTCGTTTAGAAATGTCGTATCTTACGACTACTACCATGCGACAAGACCATCTCATTCGACCCACGCCCTGTCTGCCACACGGAGGATTTGAACATTCAAGTACGACCCGAGCAATCGCTCTACTGAGTTCCAATATTTGAAATGAATGCATATGTATGGGAGGAGCAGAACGAATAGTAAACATAGGAACAATAGCATGACATGGCTATTAACGCGACATATTCCTTCTTTTGCAGTGATGAATTCTCAGTCTTGGGTGAAAGTTCTGCGTCCCAGGGTTATTTTGTATTGATTTGCTGCAAGATGTATGCACATGAATCGAAGTGGCGCAATATGAGTATAGGTTGTCTGTGCAACTAAAGGAGACCATCTCAGATTGAAGCATACTTGAGCTGTGATTCTGGAGAAGTAGCAGATGCTAACTGTTTGTGTCTTTCACTCTCAATTTCCTCTGCTTACCCTATACCTGACGTAAAACAGCCGTCAAGGCTGGGCCTACTCATAGACCAGTCGCGCCTTCCATCCGTGCGCCTCCACTAGCGCAATACACTCGGAATCATTCCGACAGGGTCTCAGGCATTACCCTCACCCTTACCCTGATCTCTCCATCCAAATCCAAAATCCAATTCACACCAAATCATCTCAGATGGGAAAAAATGGAAACCATATCTTACACCTTTGCAACTAAAAGGGACGACGCTGTAGCACCAGCAAACCCAATTCTCGCATCTTCCCTAATCGATGACGACGAACTTGACGACTTGATCGACCGCTTGTACAACTCGGGTATCCGAGAGGCCAAGCAAGAAAAAGAGCGCATAGGAATTGGCATCAAGAGTGTGGATACAGCACTATTCGGTGGCTTGGAAAGTGGCCGGGTAATTGAAATCAGTGGTGAAGCAAGTGCAGGTGTCAGAGAGGTAGGTCTATTTAGAGAGAAAGAAACCGAGGAGAAAAATGAAATAAAATTTCAAGCTGCTTGGGAAAAAAAACAAGCGGAGTGGTGTGGACAAGATTTGTGCGAGAGTGAGATTGAACTAATCAGGAAGTTTCGTTAGGTTTATACAGCTTTGCTCGTTACTTGTCTCCTACAGAATCCGAAATCCACGGCAGCGGTGGTAGACACGACGGGCAATTTCGACGTCTTGAGGTTATACACACATATTATTGCGCGGTTATCATGTCAAACTCAGGACCTACTAGCCGCCCTTCGCGAATCTGTGGGTTTCGGATCGGATGCGAGAGCAGAAGATGTGGCGGCGAAGATGCTAGATCGGGTTAAGATTATGCGAGTATTTGATTTTGAGGGGGTGAGGGAGGCGGTGGGGGAGATTGGGGATGAGGTTGAGGGAAGAGGGGGAGTAGGTGAGAAGGACGTGGGGCAGAAAGAGGAGGTGTTGGGAGAGGAGCAGGTACGGGTGGATGAGGCGAACGAACCGCCCAAGAGGACATTTGTGCCGGATAGCGAGGATGAAGGTGAGGAAGAGGAAGAGGAAATGCTGTTTGAAATCAAGGACAAGCACATTTTGGCACCACGAGTGCAAGACACGGATGCGATATCAGCACCAGAACTGGAAAAACCAGGACACGCAGACACGGAAGAGCAAGCTACACAAACAAAATCCAAGAAGAGTACACCAAGCACTCTAAAATTCATCCTAATCGACAATCTCGCCCGCGTCTTTGGGCCCCTCTCCAAGAACGACATGAACAAAGGTCTGTTTTCCAAGTACTTCCTCTCTACGATACCAGTACCAAAGAAAAAAAACTGATCAACATCTTACATAACAGCAACATCCCTCGCATCCACCCTCCTCTTAACCCTCACCTGTCTAACCCGCCATCACACTCTCTACACCCTCCTCGTGACCCCCACCACGCCTCCTCCTGCCCCTCGTGCCGCATCCCCCACACGCGCAGTCCCCTCGCACCGATCACACGCGCCGAACCACAGCGGTCCAGATCAACCAGAGCCAATACCACAGCCTTCGATTTTCTTGAGCAACAAAGTGGGACCAGGTATACCGGGCCTAACTGGATTGATGGGACTGTACAGTGACGTACGCGTACTAATCAGTCGGATGCCTTATCGGAAAGTGGATGCAAGGATCTATTATGATGAGAATATTGATAAGGCGCGGAAGAGGAGGGTAGAGATGGTCGGGGTGCTGGAGGTGGTGGGGGATAGATGGGGAGGGAGGACGGGTAGCTGGGGGGTATTTGCAAAGGGACAAGATGGGATTGTAGATGTGAAATAAGACCGGAGTTGGAAACGGTGCAATGGGACTTCGCTAGTCTAAAGTCCACTCATCATCGCCCGTGTTTTTCGGCCAGCCCTTCAACGCAATCTGCATATCGCTTTTTATTCTTCTTCTTTCCGACAATAAAGCGTCATTCTTCATCTCGGCGTATTTCCTCTTCACGCCAAGCACCGACGCAGCTGCACCGCCCAGCATCCCTGCTACCCGTATGACTTCCATCCACAGCCCTCTTCTGCTGATCCGACTCGCGCCACGGGGATCCAATTGCTTTCGCCCTTGTAACACGCCGCCGATGAGCGTCTCTTGCCAGTACGGTGTCCAGACTGCTGAGAGGTTGCTTGATACCGCGGTGTCTTCTGCAGCTAGCGCACGCCTCGACCATGTGAATTCCCTTGTGGTAGGCTTTACTGTGAATGGATGGAATGTGTATCCCCCACACCACTCACGTGTCGTTGAGCAAGACAAATTGTTGAGGCGGCCAGTGGGGGAAAAGGCGCGCTCGCATGCTTGAGGCACGTATTGTGAGACAGGGAGGATGAGTGTATCCAGATAAGCGTTTTGTGGCGTGATGAAGAGAGAATTGGTGGAGGAGAGTAGAGAGAGGGATTGCTTGAGAGTGAGTTTGTCGGTGCAGGATTTACTCAGGGTAGGGGGTGCGTCTGGTCGGGAGGGTTTGGCACGCACGACGCCGAGGTGGGAGAAGTTTGAGCGGCCGCGTAGGGCGCTGGATCCGATATCTTCTGCTGAGTCGCCAGTCGTTTGACCTGGTGGGCTGGGTGACTGTGGAGGTGACGCTGCAGTGGCTTCCTTGAGGGTTGGGGGCGGGCTTGTCCATGGCGTGGCATCTGCTTGCGCGGCCATGGTGAGCTCCATGCTTGCGTCACCGCAGGGTGCTTCGGAACAATACATGTGGATTGATACATCGTCGGGGATAGTAAATAGCTGTGGCGTCTGATCTCGGGGATGTCGGGATTGAATGAACTCCGACGTAGGATAGGGCGGTGATGAGATGCGCACACATTCGTCCATAAGGTAGCGGTTAAAGGCTCGGATGGCAATGACTTCAGCGTGCCAGTCGTGTAGGATGTTGCCTTTTGCTAGTGGGAGTTTGTTTGATGGAAGACATTTCATGCCCGTTCTACGAGCGTCAGCATGTTATTACATGGGCAGATATTGCTTCTTGGACACTGCAAGATGACGCTGAATTGACCCATGTTCCAATGTATTAATCGTATATGGTTGTTTTGGCAATCCCGCAGCACCTTGACGCGGCGCCGAGCCGCTCGTAGGAATAGCCTGCTCGGGTAAGTAGACTACTTGATGCAAGTCGCTTACGAGTCGACGATACCCCATTTTACCTGCGTCGCGGCGGCATGGCTCACAAATGGCGCAAGGAACTATATTGAAAGGAATATTGCTTACCCCAAAGATACACACTTTAGCCTGTCGCCTTCGCTAGTTCATGGGCATAAGCAAGTATAGCGGCGTAGACATGCCAGTGAGCGATTACCTTTAGATAAGACGATTCCAGCAAGCGGGACCCATTCTCGTGCGCCATGGCTTCGGGGTCGGGGTTTTCTTTTGTCGGGCAGGCTGTCAAAGGTGTCGAGGACGCAGCGGGCGATGGCATCTGGGTCTGGTGCCATGGTCGTCTGATTTGGTCGTCTGCAGTGAAAGAGCAGTGAGGGTCGAGGGGCTCTGGTCAGGTTAGGTCAGGCATGGGGACGGGGGGGGGGGCACGGAGTTAGGGCACGGAGAAAGCTGAAACCGGAAACCGATTAATGCTTTGGCGGTTCCAAGGCCCTCCATCACTCCTGCTACTCGACGACAAAAGAACCCTGTCACACGCACGATACCACTAGGAGCCTTCTTACAGCTTCCCCGAACGTGGCTTTGTCCGGCTTCTTCTCTTCTCTTCAATATGCAAGCGTTTGGTGAGCAATGGCTATGCGCCGCACTGTCGCATTTGCGGCTCACACACTCACGATCCCAGTGCCAAAGAACCGACGAGTAAGGCAAAGCTTGTTACTTAGACGCACAAGCATACGTACGCATGTTACATGGGCTGACAAGCTGCACAGCCAAAGTTTGACCTGCACCTGAGAGTGCGCGCTGCCCATCACGCCCCCTATGACCGTGTCCTGACAGCAACAGATCATCGACCTCAACAACGTTCCCCTCGTATCCGGTACATCTTTTGTGAAATGGCACCTCTTACACTCGACAGCCGCCGAACACCGCGGTCGTACAGAGAGCTGCTACGTGAAGGACCATAAAGTCGCCTACGACTATGAGGCTACGCTCCCTGTCCGGCTTACCGTGGATAAGAACGGCATGTTGCAGGAGTGCTATGTCGAGTTCGAGGTTATCCAAGAGTATGGAACAGGCAGAGGCGAGAGGATAACTCTGGGCACTGTCAAGCTCAACCTGGCAGAGTACGTGGAACAGAGCGAGATGGGCACAGTGGCGGGCGAAGAGCCAGGCGTCACACGGCGATATCTCATGCAAGACAGTAAAATCAACAGCACGCTCAAGATTGGGATATACATGAAACAAATCGAGGGGGATAAGAACTACATTGCGCCCGCACTCAAGACTGCCCAGGTCTTCAGCGGCATTGCCGGTATCATGGCCGGAGAACAGACCGAGCTCGAAGATCAAGGAGGCAAGCCTACCTTTTCTCTTCTTTTTTCTTTGACAAACGCGGCTGACATTGACAGCCACACACTCATCGGCAAACAAGTCGCGCGAAGCTGGCGAGCTACAGGATATGTACAGGCGCACCCTGGCCGCTTACTGGTCGGCTCAGCCTGGCGAGCTGAAGGCGGACGAATGCATAGAGGACATTTTTGCTGGCGGAGACGGCTGGGGCGACAAGTCCTACCTGCAGCAAACACGGGTGCAGCAATCGTTGCGCTTTGCTGGCGACGGCAGCAGCTCTGTAAGTGAAAACGAATCGAGGCACATGCACAGCAGCAGCATCAGTCGCAAGTCGCATGAGACACTGCGGCCCGGGGACATGAAACCGCTCCGCTCGCCAAATGTGCGAGGCCGGGAAAGCCTGGAACAGCGGGCATCGCACCTGAAGGCGAAGGCTGAGGCGGCGCGGCAACGACAGCGGCCGGTGCAAGAGGTCAATGAGTTTGATCTGCGAGAAGACCTGGTCAGCTGGCATCGGCCGACGTGATGTTCCATTATAGAAAACAGTAGACTTTTGTAATTGCGCATGTTATTTCTTCTCTTGAACTTTTTTCTTTGCATTTGTGACGACGGGCATGTGATGATAAGCATGGCAGAACACAGCTAGGATGACGCGAAGGCGCGACGGCAGAATTATTAGGCGGTGGTTAAAGTTGACGGACGCATTTCACTTTGCGCACCACACGCTGCAACAAGCATTGAACCTCAGCTCTGCCTCACCGTCCTTCATGCTTGCGCCCCGTGCTCCCGGTGCATTTGTATGCTTCCGCTGTGAAGCGCAAATCGCCCGCCGACGACTGCCTGCCGTGCCCCGCCGCATCCCTCGCGCCACCTTTTCTGCCTCTGCTCGCCTGCATGATGATGGCGCAGAAACAAACGACGCTCTTTCCGAGCCGGACGCTCCCAAGTTCAAGATTACTAAAGTAGTCCAGCCGCTGAACCGCATCAGGAAGAGAAAGGGCAAGATTATCAAAGAGACCACCACAAGCCTGGGGGGAATCAAGCAGCTGGGCAACCATGCCAATATCCTGGTGCTCAGAGAACTCGGAGATGTACTAGCGGAGAAAGGCGATGAAGAGTCCGAAGCCATTGAGCCTTCTGATCCTGTCCAAGTTCCCGACATCTTTGCCTCGCTGCAACAAGAGGGCAAGGCAGTCACGCCCGAGGAAATTTATCAACAAATTGGCAGTCTACGTCCAAAACAAGATGGCGATCCCAACGAGCCACACTATGTCAACCAGGCTACGTTTCTCAAGTTGAAAAATCTCCTTATGAACGGTTTTACCCAGCAACAGTTGATGATCTTCTACTCAATTGCAAAGAACATCAAGCGGGGGCAGGTCAACAAAGGTGTCATTGATAGTCTGAAGCGAGACGAGGATGATCCCAAGCGCCCGGTGGAGCGGTCCGAGTGGCAACCAGGCACTACAAGCATCACCCAACGTTTGCCTGGAGTCGACCGCCATGTCAAAATCATGGGATGGCGCAAGAACGTCAGCAAGCAGCTGCTCGTAGACCGCATCCTCCGCGACCAGTGGAACCTCGTGCTTCTTGAAGAAATAGAGACGCCTGGCGAGCTTGAACTCTTTCTGAAGCCGTGGCAGATGACACTGCTTACTGTTGGAGGTCAGTTCCCAGCTTGTATCACCATCGCAATATCCACTAATCCTTGTTGAAGAACACAATGTACTTGATGGAATCGCACTGATCAGAAAGGTCAAATTCGAAATCTACAAACACCATGACATTCTTCGCATCACCGCCGACAAGAGTACAGCAGAGTACGCTGCCAATGACGTAGAAGAGGCTTTGCAACGTACAGAGGTCAAACGGATGAACCTCAAAAATTACATGTGTCTGCTGGAGCCAGATCTGATACCACGGGATCAACCACTAGATCTGACTACGCTCTTTTCACAAAAAGACCGGGACGTCATCTCAGCACTTACCAAGACAAGTATAGCAGGTACTACAAGGAACTTGGCAAGTCCCTCCTTGACATTGGTGCCTACACTCACTAATTTTGAGTAGTTTACACTCAGGGGATTCGACAACGCATCTATCGAAGAAGCAAAGCGGTCTTTGATCAACCTTCTGCCTTTCAGAGATGGCATCACTCGCACTTCGGACATGCTGAACCTGGGCTCCGCAGCAACCTCAATTTACCCAGCACCCGTATACGTGGATGAAAGCCTGTTGAGCTACCAGACCCGAAATACTCCGCTTGGACGCTTATCAGTGCCTCTCCCACAAATCTCTGGGCCCGAATCTATAGAAGATACAATAGAGTCAGTTGATGCCCCCAAGTCGTCCAAAGCAACAGTTCAAGGCCTAGTAGATAGGACTGCAGCCACTGTACTTCGATCTGCTTCGAAAGAATTTCCTCACCTGGAAGAGCTGGGCAGCTGGGTTGCTGAACCGCTACGAAAGCTCTATGTCAAATTTGGTCAATCCTTGGTGCCTCTGGAATATGCGAATGCCGCAAAGACAGAAGCCAATACACCCGAGCAATTTTCTCAACTCCATTTTGCGTCTACCTTCCCCGGGCTTTCTACTCTTTTTACATCACCAGATATCTCCGTTACTACGCGCCTACAGGTCCCGACTCTATACTACAACTTCCGACCTGATCCCGAGCAGGACGGCTTTGATTCCGGCCAATTGTTTCCCACCATCCAGATCAAGATGGGTACAGATCGCCACGGCGCCAAAGCCTATTTCCGCAGATTAAGCATGAGGTTTTGGCAGCATATGCATACCGTGTCGCTCCCCAATAAAGCGGCCGACCTTCAGTTCTACCAGTACGGGAGTTTAAGAATGACCAAAGACCACAATGATTCCAACCTAGATAAATGGGTCGGCGCTGCCGCAAAAAGCATTTCGAGTGGCGGACGGATTACCGCGCCCCCGCTTAGCCTAGATATTCCCAGGTGGACCATCCCTGGCTGCTCAATCGAAGAAAAGGGCATGGCCAAGATTAAATATCACTTTTCTGGTGTGGAGTTTCGACAGGCTGTCTCGGGCACGCTATTGGGTCAAAATATCGCCTTCAGCGCCAATCAATCAAGCAAACTAAACGCAAAGGGTGGCGACCTGATGGCGTATTACGACGGTCATGGTGACGTACAGTTACGTGATGAGACAACTATCAAGGCGTTTGTCAGGAGATGCTATGATATCGCCGATTTGATAACAGATGCGAGCGCGCAGACGTCGCCGGTGTCTAGACGAGCACGCCCGAGGTATCCTGAGAGTGCACGAAAGATGAGGAGAGCGGGGATTTTGGGCGAAGTATCCAACGAAGTGAACGATGTAGGTGAGGAGATGATGGGGAAGGATTTGCAAGAACGCATTGCGGAGTATCCCAGTGCGCCAGACGAGACAGTGATAGGGGAGGCAAGCCATGTAAAAGATGAGGTCTCAGCGGATGATGCCGCTGCAGTAGAAGTGCAACAAGGAGAAGACACAACAACAACTCCGCCGTCAGAGATGCCAGGGGCGGCAGATCCAGAGGCGTCAGAGCCAGAAGTGTCAGAGGGACGTGGTCGAGACTCCTCGCCCAAGGACATATAGCACGAGATGTAATACCGAAGTCTCATCTCTTCACTCAAATCCCTGCCTGCTATCTTCTCTCGTCGTGTATTCACTGTGCATAGTGTGGAGACAATGGATTGAGTTCACAAAGTAAGGGAATTTAGGACTAACTGTAATGGGTGCACAATTTTGATGGCGTGAAACTGTGTCCATTTATGAGGAGTTAAAGCAAACGAGTGACTGTTTTGGCAACGACGGGCTAGTTTGCAGTACCATCGCTGATCTTCTCGCTGACTATGAAAGACGCAAAAGAGTGAAGCGCCAGAACGCAGATGGACTAACACAGACTTATTTGCTTAGGCAGAAGCCGGAGCCGCAGCCCCGACTACCGTCTTGCCAGTCATGCCCTCCAGGCGCTTGAATCCGCCATTCTGCTTGACACCCTCCTGTAGCTCAGCCATCTTCTTCTGATCACCCACGGGATTCTCGGCCTCATCCTGCAGTCCCCAAGCCAGATACTCATTCGTATAGTTTGGCGTAAACGCTTCATCGAGCACACCAAGCCTCTTCCCGTATTGTGTAACCTTTTCCCAGTCACGCTGTACATTCTGCAAGTCTAGGCTAAAGTACGCAAAGCTGCGTTCGAAAATCTTGCGGTTCGTCGGCGTATCCATGGCTGTCTTTGCAGCACAAAACTCAGCCCACGCTTGCTCCGGCTGCGCAAGCACAAAGTCCGTTGCGCGCTTGCATGCGCGGAGAAAAGCGCGGACGGCATCGGGGCGGCGCTCGATAAAAGCATCGTTGCCAATATACAAGATAGAGCAGAAGCAGCAGCAGCCTAGTTGGGCGAGTTCATCGATACGCAGCATCTGGACTTCGTCGCGGGCTCGATTCTGCGATACGAGCCATTCTTCTAGCTCCACCATTTGTACATTCTCGAGACCGATGCCTGCGTCGATTTCGCCCGTGATGATGGACCGCGTCACGTTCATGCCCACGCGCACGGCTTGGTAGTCGCTGGGCGACATGCCGTAGTAGGCTGTCAGCTCGTCGAGTTGGATTTTACCAAATTCGCCTACGTAGCCAATTTTCTTGCCCTTGAGGGTGCTGAAGTCGCTGGTTATGCCAGAAGATGTGAGATAGACTACTCCAGTGAAGGGCTCGTTGAGCAAAGAGCCGATAGATTGGACGGGGAAGCCTCGTGCGGCGGCGGCGAGTGTGTGGATCATGGCTTTGAAGCCTAGATCGACTTTTCCTGATCCGATGATTTCGGTGACGTCCTGTTTTTCCACATTAGAATTTCGAAGTAAAGTGAGATATGTAGGGTTAATCGTACGCTTGGATCGTTGGGCTCAAGAACAGCGACTTTGATGCCTTCATCTTTGAAGTATCCCTTGCTTTGAGCAAGGTACACAGGCGCATGATATGGCGTAGCATGCCTAGCCTATTCTTTAGTATTCTATTCTCCTACATTAAAGCTGCATATCTCGCGCACCAGTTGGTCAAGAAGGTAATCTTATCCGTCGACATCTTGACTTTGGGTACCGATACAATGTTCTTCTACGCTAGTCAGCAATCCCAACACAACAGTGGAAAACGGAACATCATGAAGCAGCAACAGTCCTTCGCGCTGGAATTATCCAGATCAAGTTTAAACGGTATAATCTCAGAACAAGCCACTAGTCATTGATACGGCGTATCGATCACTGGTGGCCTGAACACCCGCCATGCTTTGCTTCTGATGGATTGAGATGGGTACCTGATGATGCATACTGTGGGCATCTGTTTTACTTGACCTAGAGAATATCCTGAGATGCGAAGAGCGAGACCCCACGGGCGTCGCGGTGCTGGTTCGGTGGTGGCATCGTACCAATAGAATAGTGTCGTGACTATGGATGGTTGGAAAAGATATGCGAGAGTTGAAGTCAGAGATAGCCTCTGCAGTAGTGCTATAGACCTTTTATGCACTCGTGGAGGGTTTTTGTTGAGCTTGATGACATGCAAATTGCCCAATTGCACATGCATACGCGGGGCAGTGAGGGGTAGTACTGTCCGTGCGCACCCAATGCAACACTTCAGCCAATGCAACACCCCACCAAAATGCGAGCTCACCAAAAAATGAAGCTTTTAACTACCACTAAAACGCTATTATTGCGAGATTTTTTAGTGGAGTACTAGCATGATCGTATATTTAATATATATCTACTAATATTTACTCGGCAACCATACACTACGGCCGCGGGTGGTGGTTTTAGTGATAGGCTTGGCGGGTGGTGATGTATTACTACTACTACTTTTAACCTCTATAATACAACGCTGCTTTAATATTTTTATATTCTAATTTAATAAAGCTTTTTATTTAGTAGTATTCTACTTATTATAAGCTTTTTATATAGTTATAGTAGCGTAGTCTTATACTTTTTTAGTATATATAATAGCTAGTTATATAGCCCTTATAGCTTACTCCCTCTACTA